AAGGGCATCTTTTGTCTTGCTGCTTTTAAAATTTTTCTTTACCACCATATTTTGCAATTTAATTATATGTTGATGTTGGCCTGCTTTTGTTGATTTTGATAGAAGATCACTGAACCTCCTGGATCTGGATGTCTGTTTCCTTCCCCAGATTAAGGGAGTTTCCTACTATTCTTTGTTTTTTTCCTATTATTTCTTGAAATAAATTTTCTGCCCTTTTTCTCACTCTTTTTCTTGTATTTATTCTATAATATGAATGTTACTACATTTGATAGGATAACTGAGTTCCCTGAGTCTGTTCTCATGTGGCATAATTTTTCTTTCTCTCTTTTGTTCCACTTCATTATTTTCCGCTGCTTTGTCTTCTAGGTCACTAGTTCATTACTTTGATTCTTTCAGCCTGCTAGTCATTGCATTAGCCTGTTTCCAATTTTGTTTATTGCATTCTTCATCTCTGACTGATTTTTTTTAACTCTTTTATCTCTGTGATAAGGGTTTCACTGATGTCCTCTATTCTTTTCTCGAACCTAGTGAGTATCCTATGTCCTTATGATTATTGCTTTAAGTTCTCCATTAGACCAGTTACTTATATCTGTTTCACCTAGATTTCTGGCCATGGCCTTATCTTGTTCTTTCATTTGGGATAAATTTCTCTGTCTTGGCATTTTTGTCTAAGTCTCTGCTTTCTTCTCTGTGTTAGAAAAGCTAGTTATATCTCTTGCTCCTGAGAGTAATGGCCTTATGAAAAAGAGGCCGTATAGTGCCCCAGGCCTGGAACTTCAGGGACTGTCTCTGGTACGTGCTGCATGTACTCTGCTCTTGTGTTTTGGCTCCTCTATCCTTCAGGCCCATGGTCTGCAGAGGCTCTCCTTGCTTGCTGTGAGCAATGTTTGGTTCCTGGCCTGAATGTGGCAAGTTTTAACCAGCTCTATGGTGGTCTGCTTGTGAAATGAGATCTGACACCAACTCCACCAGAACTGAGGCCCTACAAAACTCTCTAGTTATGAGATGTGATGTGGGCATGGATTTATGGGAGAGGAACCCACTGCACTAGGACTGGGGCAAGCATGACTGAGAAGGGCAGTCCTGCCACAGAGCACAGGTTGGTGGGGCTTACACTAGTAAGCAAGTTAGGCAACCAGTATAGGCCCTGTGCTGCTTCTCACAGGTGGTTCTGTTTTATGTGGAGGGGCCAGGAAGGAAAAATGGCACCAGCCAGCTTCTTTGTTCCCAGAGGGGCTTCCTCTGAATGCTGCCTCTCAGGGATGCACTCTATAATCGGGCCCCTGTGCACCCCAGGTGTTTTTCAGAATGTGGTTTCTAGGCTGTCTGCCCCCAGGTTGTTTGCTTCTCTCCAGGAACAGTGAAATGCCCTTGGGGCTCTATCCTGAGCAAGCCTGCTGACATTTAAAACTCCAGGCTGTAAGCCCTGCTGGTTGTAAGAACTCACAAAATTCAGTCCCTCTCATTTTCCAAGCCAATGGCTTTGGGAAACATGCTCTTTGTTTATTTCTCTCTCTCTCTCTCTCTCTCTCTCTCTCTCTCTCTCTCTCTTTCTCTTTCTCCCTCTCCCTTCTCTACAACCATGTCTCCCTTCACTCTGCAGCATCTGCAATCCCTTTCTCCCCTAAACCACATCTCTGTACTTCCTACATTCTTTAGGATGGCCTCTTTTCTCCCTTTATTTGTGAAGTTTGTTCTCTTAGTCTTCAGGTTGATTTTTAGGGTATTTAGGATGATTTGATAGTTACCTATTTGTGTTCCTGGGACAAGGTGAGCTTCATGTCCTCCTATTCTGCCATTTTCAACAGACTCTAGAATAATAATGACATGATAAAGAATGTTCATAGTAATGATGATGTTAAATTAGTGTGTATTTTATGCTAGGCACCTTTCTAAGTGTTTGCATTAACTCAGTTGATCCTCATAACTGTCTTATAAAGTATTGTTATCCTCATTTTAAAAGTAAATAAACTGAAGCTCAGAGCACTTAAGTAGCTTCCCCAAACTTAGATATCTGGTAAGAGCAGAACTAAAATTCAGACCCAGGCCGTTGGCCTCTTAAACCCTTACTCATGCATTATTACATGAAAAAATACCAAAGAAAAATTTCTATAAACTTTCTCATGGAAATAAGCAAAGTGCTTTTAATCTAGGGAAGAAAATGTGTTAAAAATACCCAATCAAATTTTGACAAAGCAGAATTGGTAGAGGAGAAGGACAACTTGTTGTACCAGCTATCAAAATACACTATAAAATATAGTAATTTTTAAAATACCATATTGGGGCACATAGGTGGCATAGTCAGTTAAGCATCCAACTCTTGGTTTCGGCTCAGGTTGTGATCTCTGGGTCAGGAGATCAAGTCCCACATTGGGCTGCATGCTCAGCATAGATTCTGCTTAAGACTCTCTCCCTCTCCCTCTGTGTCTCTTTCCTGCTTGCTTGCTCTCTTTCTCTAAAATAAATAAATCTTTTTTAAAAAATATCATATTGTAGTAGAAATAGGGAACAAATAGAGGGAAAAAAATCAGAAGAATATGCAACTTTTTATGTTCATAAGGAAGAGGCTGAATGGATACACCTAAATAGTAAGAGTGATTATTTTCAGAGAGGGATTTACAGGTGATTTTTTTCTAATTTTTCAATTATCTAAGTGAGCATTTTTTTTTAAATATTTTACTTATTTATTCATTAGAGACACAGAGAGAGGGAGGCAGAGACACAGGCAGAGGGAGAAGCAGGCTCCATGCAGGGAACCCGATGCAGGACTCGATCCCAGGTCCCCAGGATCACGCCCTGGGCTGAAGGCAGATGCTCAACTGCTGAGCCACCCAGGCGTCCCTACAGTGAGCATTTTTAAATCACCTAATATTAGCAAGTTTATTTTCAGAGCTTTTTAAAACTTTCAGTTTGGCAGTATTTTGTTAGTGCAATATATATGTTGCTATTTGGTTTATGCATATATGAATTGTAGGGCATCCCAATCAGATGAGGGGCCAGTGGCATACGCAGTAAAAGAATTCACCCGAAGCAGTACAAAGAAAGAAATTTACTGAATATACTGCAGCAGAACAGCAAAGGAGAGACTGTAACAAGGCAGTGATGAGGGATAAGTTATAGGGCAGAGTGAGGAGATACGGAAATGTATTGGATTTTCTCCTTTTTGGTAACTGTGCCTGGTTATAAGTAGCCCATGGTTAGTTATGGCCTGTGGCTATTTCAAGGTGGGTTGCTTAATGAGCCAGTTTGCATCAACCCAGTGATGGGTGGTCGCTATGGGCCCTTGCTGTGTGCCATTTGTCTCACTCAAGTTCCATTGCCCAAGCCTGTTGCCTAAAAGCAGCCTCTACATTTATTTTTATATTTATATAATACATTTATGTATGTATATACATTGTGTGTGTGTGTGTGTGTATATATATATATATATATATATAATTCATTTATTCAGGCCTTGTATTAACAGATCATACAGGGATCCCTGGGTGGCGCAGCGGTTTGGCGCCTGCCTTTGGCCCAGGGCGCGATCCTGGAGACCCGGGATCGAATCCCACATCGGGCTCCCGGTGCATGGAGCCTGCTTCTCCCTCTGCCTGTGTCTCTGCCTCTATCTCTCTCTCTCTCTCTCTGTATGACTATCCTAAATAAATAAAAATTAAAAAAAAAATTATTAAAAAAATTTAAAAAAAAAAAAAAAAAACCAGATCATACAAAATCACCAATCCAGTTCTTCTTTTGGTAAGCATGGAGAAAAAACAATGGGATAATAATCTTCTAGCCTAGGGTTGAAGAGAATTTCAGAACCTCTGACTTATTTTGGAAACCTGAATGTTTATAGATGGTGTACAGAAAAATTATTGAATTTATCTTTGTAGCATCTCACCATTTTACTCAACTTTATTATAAGTTGTAATAGTTTTTCAGTTAATTCTCTTAGATTTTCTAGGTGTATAATCATTTCATTTACAGGTAATAACTTTTTCCTCCAATATTTATGGTCTGTATGTTATATAACATCTCCCAAAATGGAATAGTTGTTTAAAAAATGAGTAGTTCCCGGGATCCCTGGGTGGCGCAGCGGTTTGGCGCCTGCCTTTGGAGGGCGCGATCCTGGAGACCCAGGATCGAATCCCACGTCGGGCTCCCGGTGCATGGAGCCTGCTTCTCCCTCTGCCTATGTCTCTGCCTCTCTCTCTGTTTGTGTGATGACTATCATAAATAAATAAAAAAATTTAAAAAAAAATGAGTAGTTCCCATAGTAATGTGGAAATATGAGTCCTGCATATCATGAAGTGAAAAAATAGAGTTACAGAGTCCTAGTCTATGTATGCAATAATTTTGTCTTTATTTTAAAAAATAATTCTGTCTCTATTTTTAAAAATAAAGCAAGCACTGCATAGAGGGCTTGATTGGGGGAGATTACTCTTTCCCTCAAAAATTCTGTACTAATTTAAGTGCCTGTCTTAGTTTGCTTGGGCTGCCATAACAAAATAACATAGACTGGATGGCTTAAACAACAGGAATTTCTGGAGGCTGAGAAGTCCAAGATCAAGGTGCCAGGTGATTCAGTTCCTGGTGTGAGCTCTTTTCCGAGCTTGCAGAAGCCAACTTCTTATTGTCTCCTCCCATATCAAAGAGAGAAAAAAGAGAGAGAGAGAGCTTAAATAAATGAGAATGAGAGAATGAGAATGATCTCTCTTCCTCTTCTTAAAAGGCCACAGTCCTATCAGATTAGAGCCCCATCCTATGGCCTCATTTAACCTTAATTGCCTCCTAAAGTCTAGCCCCATATATTTACACTGAGGATGAGGACTTGAACATGAAGGGGAGGGGGGGTAGTACACAATTCTTTTCAAAGCAGTGCCTACATTTTTTCCCGATTCTTCAGAAATCCTCTGTTTAATTTTGTTTCAGACAGAATTAGTTTAAGGCACTTGTTACTTTACAGTGTATCACAGAAATTTTATCGCAGTTTAATTTCATAAATCTTTTCCTCTTAGACACAAAATCGCATGAAGCTAATGGCTGACAATTATGAGGATGACCACTTCAAATCCTCCCATTCCAATCAAACCAATCATAAACCCTCCCCAGACCAGGTAAGACTGCTCTTGAATGTTTTACAAAAATAAATGTGCTTTTATTTTCATGTATTTTATGCTAGCATGTTACAGATTCCAGACTATAAGTTTAGAAAAATAAAAATAATCAGTTTCTGAAGTCTCCTTACTCGTGTTTTTAAACACAGATTCAATTTCTGTACAGGAAGGTGGTGCTAGACGATTCTGATTATTTTAAGAGGAGATACTCAAAAGATTTGAGAACTATAAGGAATCCTTGAATTGGGTTGAGAAAGAACAATTAACCTCAGAAATACATACTAATTTGTAAGTGTCCTACTTTTCCTGTTAAAACAATGCCTTATTAAAAAAAAAAGACTCTTTCGTTGTGAGCTCAATAAGACACAGCTCTGTTTAGAGATAACTGTTGTTTGGTTGTAGAATTTTAAATCTCTGATCATCACCTGTTATGAAGAGTGAAAACTTCTTCTTTCCCATTTCCTTGATGATCCCTGCAGTATTTATTATTCTCAAGGAAAATTGTAGCCTTCAACTTTTCATCAATGCAAAAAAGGCATTGATGAGTCTGAAGGGAACCATATTCAACTCCAATCTTTTGGAAGAAGGGAACTCTCCCAAGATCTTGAAAATGATGGATGGGGAGAGTGGTGAACAGATTACCTCATATCCCATTGCCAAAAATCAAATTTCAACATCTCCATCACACTCAATCTTAAAATATATAGCTGAAGGGGAAAAAATAATAGTTAAGTAATTACATCCATATGACTAAAGAGTCAAGGGCAACTCCCCCACTAAATATCTCCACTGAATGATAGCCATGGCATTGTCTTAGAAGAAGAAATATTGCAGATGAGAGCAGCAACAATATCCAAATTGCAATTTTTTCTAAGATTCAGAAGGTATAGTCACGGTATTATGACATTTACTACGCCAGTTGAGGCAAGCCTTACATTTTAAAAAGGGAAAAACAATACCAGTCTTAATGTAGGCAGAATGCAGAACTGTCTGCCTGATGTCAGGAGTCTTTCTTTGCCAAGAAATCATTTTGCTATCTGTGCCTGTTCCTGTAACTCAGAATTAAATTTATGCCAGTGTACATAAGATGAGTATTAGGTCCTAACCTTGAAACAGGTTTTGATAATGAATAAATACAAGGAATCAGATGCCTGGGAGTAGTGGGAAGAAAAAAAAAAAAAAAAAAAAAAAACAAGGAAAGTTTGAAGAAAAGGCAAAATAAAGAAAAGCCTCCAACCTTGTAATTTTGCCCAGATCCAGCCCTGGATTAGAGATAGTGTCTTGGAAAGGTAGGAAGAGTAGAAGTGTAATGGCAAACTAATTACTAATTTGGGTAGGTTAGTAAATTTAGGGAATTCGAATCTAATATAAAAAGAGTCAAGAAGTTAGAGACCATTTTCTTCTACTACATTATGCTTATGTCTTTGTTTTAAATACTAACCAACTCTTTTTCATTCCCATGCTGCTCTGGGGCATTGTTCCCTTTGTCATCTCTCTTCCCTAGGATGAGGAGGAGGGTATATGGGCATAGCCAATCAGATGCTCTTAGTTCAGCCATTTTGTTCAGAACGGTGAGAAACACCTTTCCTTAACTCTAGAAATGTTTATTGTTTGCTTTCAATTTTTTTTTTTACACAATCATTCTCACATCCTGTTTCTCTGTAATTCATGAAATTGTTTGGTGTGCTTTCTGTTTTCTGATTTTCACCTGATTCCTGTGTGTATTGCTATGCTTCTGACATAGTGGGGTTGGGTTTTGTGGCTTTTTTTTTCTTTTTGTGTGTTAATAGTCACTTTTATAATTTCTTTTTTTACATTTTTGGGAGAACTTCCAGGGCATATATTTAAATTTGTCCTGTTTTGATCTTATTTATAAACTACCTTATCTAGTGTTATATTACAGTGTCCTGGTAAGGTTTATAGTGACTTGCATCAAACTGGAACTAGAAAATTGTTCAAATATTCTGCCAGTAGGCTTGAGGTCTACTTTTCATGATAATTAATTATAAATGTATGTCTTTAAAAAAATTGTACTGTGAACTGAAACCTTTGGTTTTTATCTATAAAAGGATTCTCTGAATTCTCAAGGTCAGTGGTTCTTATAGAGTGCCTACTAAGGACATCCCCTAGGGCTTTGGCATTACTCTCAAACTATCCTTAAAAATAAAAAGTAAAGAAGTAAAGGAAGACCTTTTAAAAAGTCAGTCTAAAGAATTCTTTATCCTCTCTTTTATGGATTGCTGCTGTGTTAAACAGTTGCCAGGACACTGTCTAGATTCTCCTTTCCAGGCCAATTGCCTAGAAAATATAGTCCAGCTGTGGCAGTATCTCCCTTTGATCTGATGCCCTGGAGGTTTGACTAAGGAAATCCTTTTCTTAGAAAAAATAATAATTACAATTAATAAGTTCACACATATTGGTGGCCTTGCACTCCCTGGATTCACTGGCCTTGCTTATTGGTGATCTCACTCTTTTGGAGTCAGTTCTCCCTGAAAAGTCTGTATCTTGGTGTTATACTTCTTAAAATGATGAGGACATGTGTAGATCTCTCACTAGCAAACACAGCCAAGAAGGATGATGAGGTAAGTTGTACAAAGGGGCATATACTGTGAAGATGGGATTCTTTCCAAATGACTTTATCCTGAGGGTGTACAAGGCAAAATGTATACCAGCCAAAAAGCTATTTGGGTTAAAGCATTGCATGCCAAAGCTAAAGCTAAGCAAGTTCATGTGTTAATTCTCTTTATCTACACTCCCCCCTACAAGGGTAGTTATTTATCATCATGAAGGATGTGCAGGCCATACAGTAGTTGTATAGAGAATACCAGTCCCTTCCTTCTAAAAGAACCTGCCTTGTCTATTTTGGCAGAACATAGGAGCTTCTTGGCATGCCTTAGTTGGGTGTAATTATATTGGTTGTATACCGTTTCTAGCCAATCAGAAGAAACAGGTTAATGTTACAGGAAAGAAGGCCCATAGATAACTTCACCAGGAGACTGAAAAATGAATAAACCTACACATAGACTTGTTCCTAAAGTCTCCATTTTATTTTCTCTTCTTCCCTAATAGAATGACTCCTATCAAGAGTTCAAATGCTATTGATTTGGGTGTTTTTTTTTTTTCAATTATTGCACTATTGAGCTTATTGCACAAAAATATTAACTGCTATGGATTTAACACAGTGCAGTTGTAATTAGCTGGCCTTAACTGGAGTTCCTATGATATGATCTTTCACGTTTTTAAAATGTGCTATAAATGTCATAATATCATAAGGGTTTTACCTTAAGAAATGCATGAGTGACTCCTAAAACATTGCAGAATTCTAACAAAATTTCAAATTTTTGAAATTGATGATTTACCTTATCAAACTTAAGAATATAAATAATGTTTTACATCCAAAACATTTTGTAACACAGTATATATATATATGTATATATATATATATATATATATATATATATATATATATATGTTAGCAAAGCAGTCTTACTGGATATAATCAATACTGAGACAGGAATTGAATCATAGAAGTATAGAGCTAAAAGGGTCTAGGCAATTTCACAAGAAGTGGGAGAACATAATGGTTAGGAGTCTAGGCTTTGGAGCAGAATGCCTCTGGTGAGATCCTACCACCACGGTGTATTAGCTTGTGACTTTGAACAAAGTATTTAGCCTCCTCATACTTCAATTTCTTCATCTTTCAAATGGAGGTTGTTGTGAGAAGTAGATGAATTGTTTGTTAGTAGATGAATTGTTTGTTAGAGGCATAAACTATGGAGCCAGACCACATAACTTTGCATCTCGACTCCTCCACATTCTTTGTGGCCTAGGGAAATTAACTAATTAACTCAATCTTTGAACCCCAGTTTTTTGTAAAAATGGGTTTATTTTATTTTATTTTATTTTATTTTATTTTATTTTATTTTGAGAGAGAGTGTGGGAAGGAGGAAGGACAGAGAGGGAGAAGGACTATTAATATCTAGTCCAGTGCCCCCATTCTGTAGCTAAGGGTGTAAATAAATAAATAAATAAATAAAGGATTTAGATGTGATGTTAAGGCCCCCAGGCATTTCTGTGGTCTGAAAAGAGGAACTAGTAGCTCATCTAAGACATATTGATGATTTTATCTCCTTTTTAATCACCAAAATTTTAATCTCTTATATGCTGAGGAATTTTTTTCCTTAAGAAAACACCTTGAATTTTTCTATAAAAGAAATGTATTCATTGAAACTTTCTTTGAAAGAATTTGCTGTCAGGTAACCCTCCTGAGATACACAGAATAAAGCGAGTGTTACCTCCAGTTAGAAAGCATGAGAGTCCCTTCTCTCTCCCCTCAACCTATAGAAAATCCATGTGAAATGTGTCCCTGCTACTGTCTATCCTTTTAATCTGTTTTCTTTTTTTTTTTAATTGTATGTATTTATTTATTTGTGAGAGAGAGAGACAGAGCAAGGACATGAGCAGGGGGAGGAGCAGAGGGAGAAGGAGAAGCAGACTCCCCATCAAGCAGGGAGCCCAAAGCCAGAAGCTCAATCCCAGGATCCTGAGATCATGACCTGAGCTGAAGGCAGATGCTTGACTGACTGAGCCACACATGCGTCCCTGTTTTTTTTCTTTCTTTGTTCCTTTAATAGTAGAATGTAGGCCCATTGGGAACAGGGACTTTAATATGTTTGCTTTTATATTTCTATCATCTAGAGCAATGCCTGGTATCCAGCAGGCCCTCACTAAGTATATATTGAATTAATTAACTTCTAAATTCATGAGATCCAGAGAAGAAACAGTAAAGTTTACATTGAAACTAGGAGCATTGAATTAGCTGTTAGCTTTAATATAAATATTACTAGTACAAGAAAGGGAAGTTTTGAAAGGGAAGATAGGAAATGTCTAGAAACAAAAGACTTTTTTTTTTTTGAAACAAAAGACTTGTAGAGAGAAATGTTAAAAATTCAAAGGAAAGTCATAAGTAAGAGAATCTAGCTTCTGTAATTTCATGCTAA